TAGTAGTAGTAGTAGTAGTAGTAGTAGTAGTAGTAGTAGTAGTAGTAGTAGTAATAGTAATAGTAGTAGTAATAGTAGTTGTTATTGTTGTTGTTGTTGTTGTTGTTTTTCGCTGTTATTGTTGTTCTGAGAACCCTTGTGTGTTCTACTTGCCTATGCTGACTGTAAAAAACTATGTTGTTGTTGTTGTTGTTGTTGTTGTTGTTGTTGTTGTTGTTGTTGTTGTTGTTGTTGCTGTTGTTGTTGTTGTTGTTGTTGTTGTTGTTGTAAAAAAAAAAAGAAAACCCCCCAAAAACCAACACCTCCCAATATTCAAAAACAAACAACAACAAACAAAAAAAAAGCAAACAAATTTTTAAAAAACAATACCGAATAACCTCGAGAAGTCATCTCCGACTCTTCATTTTCTCAAGAGCTTCTTTTTTCGTTGCTTTTTTCCCCCACAGCCCATGGCCACGCCACACCATGTAACCAAGGCAACGACACATTGTGCTTGCAAGGCGTACGCGAGTACCTTACGAGCACAGACTGGTGGTTCGGTGACAGCTTCAGGTGAGTAGCTCTATCTTTTGTTCAGTTTTTGCTTAGTTTTAACGGCACTTGGAACACAGAGCTTTACGGCACTCGGAACGTAGAATAATAGGCCATAATCATTCATCACCATCCAGTTCCTTGCCTTCTGGCGTGGGCGATCATAGACCTCCACTTCACTCTCTCTTGCGTTGCAGCAATGGTGTCTGTTGTTCTTGCTGCTCCCAGCCATGTTGTCAACTTGTCTAATATCTTTTCTCTCTGTCTGCCTCTGCCTAGGTCATATTATGAGTGTCAAAGATTAGAGGAGTTTCTGGAGAGTAACACTCAAACAATTAAGAAGGAGAGGGTCACATAAGTGTCCAATGTTAGAGGTGTTTTTATAAGAGAGTAACATACAAAGAAAATAGGAAGGAGAGATAAAGGCGATATTGAGTGTTTGATAGAAGAGAAGAAGCAAACCACACCAGAGCACCCACCAACCACCAACACGTGGATGTTTACAGCAATAATAATA